AAAAGAAAGCCGGTGAAGGCCAAAAGAAAGTCAACGAACAAGTAGCAAAACAAAAAACTTGGTTGGCATTTGCGAGCGGTACAGCTGTAGCTCCTGGAAGGAAGACAACGAAAACGAAAAGACTGGTACAACCTCCAATCAATAAGAGAAGCATTTTCGCCACTCCAGAAAATCCAGAAGGCAAAGGTAGTGTTTTAATCACATGGAAAACAGTCAAAACATTAATTCATTGATCAATAATATAATTAATTAATGTATATGATTTTTAGTTGGCGTGGTTGGGAGCGGTAAACCCATGACACAATTTCAACAACGTGGTAAACATATATTTGATCGAAATTAGATTTAAGTCTGAGACTGAGACGGAATTTGTTCTTTCTTTTTTCCTCTTTTTTATATCCTTTTCCCCAAAATGGATATTTAATAGACCAAGCGAGAACATTATTCAAATTTGTTGAAATTGGATGATGCTATGAATATAGGGCAGTAAGAACATTTTGTTTCGTTCATTTATTTGATCTTTAATTCCAGAACATTATGATTTATATCTTAATTTGCATCATTCAACATTTATCCGTATCCGAAATATATATAACTTGAGACAAAGAGATTATATATACAATTCAAGATATTGTAGTTGGGTTTAAAGCAAAGGTAATGATAATATCTAAAAAAAAAAAGGTTGTATTTCTGTTTTCAATGAAAATTGCAGTTCGATTCAAGTACAGTACAATAAATTTCAAATATATCCTTACTACAGTACTACGAAATTTCATTAACATTTTACCAACTTTATATATTTAACTTTTTATTTATTCTTTTCTCTTAATACAATGCGAAATGTAAAAAATATTCTCTTCCAATATCTGTAATCTTGAATGTCTCATATATAATGTAAAAATATATAAAAATATTTTTGTATAAAGCTATATTTTCACATTTATGATGTGTACATATTTCTGTTAAGTAAGTTTAGTGTAAAAAAGCACCCATCCGATCAGATGGATTCAAAAGAACCATATTTCCTCTTGTAATCGATTTGCCGTTTAGAAATATCCAACCACTCAAAAAATTCACACTTTTGACCTTCATTAACTCCTGCAGCATAACACATGTAAAAATATCGGCCAATATTTGAGCCCCGCATTACTGGTTTCAAAACACATGGAATCCCACATGAACACTTTGGTGTCCATTCAGCAGTATATTCATCTCTGAATTGTCTGAAAGTGATGTTTATCCTCTTTGATCCTGCGATTGGATGGAGATTATCAATGACATTTTGAGAGCATACTTCATGCTTCCAAAGTTCTTGACAGGGTGGCCACATGATAAGAAGTGAATTATGAGGGAGAGGAATGGATATTATTCTGGACGAACTTTCATTAACTCGACGAAGACGAAATTGACGCGTGGTACCAAGTGAAAGCGAGCCAATGATCGGACGCGGTCCAAGGTTTGTTAACTAGTAAAAATAATTTAATTATAATTTTAGTCTTATCTCGTGGAAGACCGATATACAGTATCACGCATTACGTACTTGGTCGCTGTGCCAACCAACACTTTCTATTAATTTAAGAGCTAATTCGTGAGAAATCGGCACTATCATCATAGTAAAAGTTGGGGATATGAGTTTATAATAAAAGGTATCATAAAAAAGTTGCATTTGGCATTGCTACAAAGTAAAGTTAATTTTTTTACTAAGTTAACCTTTCCTCTACTTCTAATTAAAATTGTAGAGCTCATTTTGGCGATTCTAATGATAGTAAAACCGGTAAAATTGGCCTGGTGATTCTTGAAATATCTTAATTTTTTTCTTAGTGATCATATACGATTTCTAAAGAAATTTTATGTGATTGTTAAGAGAAAGGTTAAGATATCTCAAGAACCAAGAATCGCCAAAATGAGTTCTACAACTTTAATTAGAAGTAGAGGAAAGGTTAACTTAGTAAAAAAATAACTTTACTTTGTAGCAACGCCAGATGCAACTTTTATGATGCCTTTTATTATAAAACTCATATCCCTATCTTTTACTCAGACATCAATGTGAATTAATGAACTTGCCTTTTGAGTTTGCATAGCAATTGGTCTTTATAATAAAAGATATGTTATCAAATAATAGTGAACATTACATTTAGAAACTACTAATAATAATAATATTGATTTCTTACAACTGCAACATTTGGATTCCATTCTCCTTGTATCTCGTATTCCTGACTTTTTGAATATATCATGTGATATGAATAAATGTTGTACGATATATTAATTAAATGCTGTACTACGTTAATAAAACGATAATATATAGCAAATTTTATATTACATCACCCTGCTCTTGCGTTTCTCGTTAACAATGTTCGTTATGATCTTCCTCGCCTCTTCCATTTCTGGTAAAAACCGTCGCGTGTTCACCGTCTTTTCACCGTTATAATAAACATCTCCATCATAAATGTTCTTGACTTCGTTCGAAATGTAAAAGGATGATGTGCGTGGTGAAGTAACCAGTCGTTCAAATAACCACCATTGATTTCGATGCCATGTCTCAGACTCTTTAAGCATAACTTTTAATAAAGAATTCGCCAATTCCTTTGGTAGTACATCGTGAATAAGTGTACATGGTGTTTTTTCACTAATATCTTGTGGTCTAAATAATTGTAATGCAGGTTGAATAATTCTACGCGGAGATTTTTTAAAACTGCGTGAATTTGTCAAAGACGGTGGCCACTTTAACGCATCATTAAGGTTAACTGAAGTTTGTTGATTTACAGTAATTTCTGCTGGAATTTTGCTAACTTGCACAATTTTTTTCGTTTCTTCGCTTATTGAATGAATATCAGAATCATTTAATTTGATCTTTTTAGACACGTCATTAAAAAAATATTCTAGTTTTGGCTGTTTTAGGGGTCGTTTGCGTCTTTCTTGATCTAAATAGATATTCACCGCACTTTCCAAGTCACCCTTCGCGCGTTTTAGAGCATCATGCAAACTTGTTTTATTAGCATCTTTGAAAATGACTAAAAGTTGGCTCAGTTTATCGTCAAAGTCAGACATACTTTGCGAGTAAGAATTGATGCAACTTATGATACCTGCTAGTGTTACACCTGATCTGCAATTTTATTGGTTGCATAGAATTGTCGCGTATAAATATTTGTTTATGTTGTGCCTCAGATTAATGCTTGCGTCAGATGTCAACTTTTTGGCCCGCATTAACTGATCGACATTGATTGACT